AGAAAGTCACAAAATAGAAAGCCAAAAGAGAGCAGGGGTCAGGTGTAGCAGAAGCCCGCATTTCATTGAGTAACGTGGTAAGGGGACTTCTGCTTGTTCATGCGAACGTATCTCAGCCTTTCGTAAAATTATTCACTTACGCTAGAGCTCCCCATAACTCCAAAAGCTAGATAAGAACTCTATTTTGTGCTAAGCATGTATGCAACAACAAGGCCGAAAGCAGCTATATGATGCTGTGTTCATAGTTCACATCGATGTTTTAAGCGTTCTGAGGGTTTTCGGTGAATAGAAAAGTACAGGTATCGAGTTACCGTTCTGGAAGAAACATCTCAAAGCTGATGTTTCACCCAAACCCCTCGAAATGCTGGCGTTTCTCCAAAATGCCAGTTTCATACCTAGACTTTTCGCCCAAAACGCTTAAAACGCTGAAGAAGAATATGGACGCAGCCCAATAGGTAGTAAAGGCAACTTACAACTTCTAAGGAGTGGAAGAACCGGGAAATTACACCGGGTCTCTCTCTTAGGTCGTCATCCATGTTTGAACTGTTTCCTGAAATACGAAAGTCGTTTACGTGAACTATGAAAGCGCTTGCAAACCCGTTAGGAATTGCGACGACAACAGCAGGTTTACTTTACAAAGGTGTAAAGCACCAATCCCTTCCTTCTTACACGATAAAAAGGGTGAAAATCCAGTTCTGGGAATCTCTAAGAGCGATAAACCTCGCAAACAGTAAAGAAAGAATATGCATTTGAATGAACCCTAACAGTTCAAACAGAACTTCGTCAACGCTACTTAGGCACAGCAGCCCTAAAGCCCATACACTGAATCATCAGCAAGAGATGGGTGTTCTGTCAAGAAACTTGCTGCTTGAATAATCGCCGTTGATTTCTGAATGCGTCAGCAAAACAGTAAGCCATGTTCAAACAATAGCTGTAAATAGGTCTAAATACCTTGAGAAGTTCAATAGTCACATCACATTAACATATAGCCCGCCTCTGAGAATTGAAGAATTGTGGAATTGGGAGCATCAGAGAATGAAAGAACGTATCAATTAGAATTGGAGAACTGGAGACTCGGCTAATCTAAAAAAGCGCGAAAAAGACTAGATACATATCGAATAGTCTCCAGTTCTCCAATTTCTCCCGCTGAGTGGAGCATCTAGCCTTTGTAGCGCCTTTTTCGACTCGTCAAGTCTCTAGTTCTCCGATTCTTGAAACTAGATATACTTCCACCTCTTCCCTCATTCTGCTGTTATTCTGCGCATCTACAACCTCGTAGTGTAGAAACTTTCTTTTTTCCAAAAAGATTATCAGAGGGCTTACTCGGGAATACTCAGCGGAATAAAATCATTTCTGTGCGCTACAGCAGTAGGTGGTAGCAAGCTGAAGAATGGACGAACCGCGAACTTAGAACAATTAACGAATGTGCAAAAGGATTAGATACGTATCGATCCGTCGAATCGGCGGATTGACGAATCGCAGATCTGGGAGAATTAACGTATGTGCCAAAATGATGTGATGCTTATAGACCTAAAGTATCGGACAGATTAAAGAATCGCGAAATTTGGAGTTGACGATTTGCGGATATAGATCTCGATACACTTCTCTTCGCGAGTTCTTCAATTCGGAAAGTTCTTGCGCAAGGTATGAATACAGCCTACCACGTCATCAGCTCATGCAATGACAGCTTAGAACCAATTTTTTACGTTGGTCATCTATGCAAACAATACGAGAATAAATGAATGTTGAATATTCTCGACTGAATATCCTCTTGCAGGATAGCGACAACAAAAAACAACGGAACATTCTGTTCGTGCCTAATTTTGGTTCGATGTAAAAATAAAGAAAAAGCTAGAAGAATAAACTTGCACATTTAACCACTAAAGGAGGAGCTTGCGCGAAAATAGCGAGAAAAGATAAAACAACATGGTGAAAGCGCACTATATGAAAAAGATCGTCTATCACCCAGAGGTGAACACCGTGAAATGGCCGAAATCACCGTGAGAATGGAAATGATATTGATTGACGCGAATCGACACGTCAGACCGTGACTGGACACGTTGGGACTCTGCGTGGCTGACGTGCTCCAGATGCGCCCATCGTCGTCGTCGACGTCGTCAGAAGATGAAGAAACTTGTCCCCACAGGATGCTCCTCGTGGAGGTGCGAATCCTCCCGCAGACGTCATCTAGGCAAAATGCCAAGTGGCGTCCTGCTGTACGTGATACGCATTTTTGCGGACTTGTGTTTTGAAGACGTGTCACATTCCTGAAGTGCGATGGGTTTTTGTTTGGTTTTTTGAGTGGAAATTGTTTAAGAACAGACTTGTCTGTGAAAAATCGTGGAGGCCTGATCTGTACCCTTCGGATTTCCGATTAGTACTGCTTCTTATTGATGTCGCCACTTTCCGGTTGTTTTTTATTCCATTTTTGAACCCCGTTATTACATAGTTTGCTGAGGAAGTTGTTGAAAGCTGACTACAATACAAATGCATAACGGTTCCTGACGCCAACGTAGTCGGGCAGGGACCATTTGTTCATGGACAACTAGAACTTAGTCCCTTTGAACGCGTTGATTTTCTGTTCTCTGCACACTCTCGTCCTTATCACATTCTGTGGTTATTGTAACCTCACTTATTCTGGTTACTCACATATGATGGCCGCCCGTATATCCTCCTGTCGATAAAACCCATCCGCTGATTTGCCACATTATTTTTGCGTACTTCGATGCTTTGGCAGTCGCTCTCCTCTGTTTGTCTGTGTTACAGGACAGTCCGCAAAAGTCGTAGTTGTCGCGTGGCCCGCGCCTCTGTGCCTCGTTCAGACTTCGCGATCGCGCCGGATTGATAGTCGTTCAAAACGATGACTCGACCCCAAGTTTTTGGTTTTTAAGTTTGGCGGTTTACGTACAGTGGTGATTTGAACTGTATCGCTGGTGGCAGGAAAACGCTTTGCGGTTGGAGGCGCCCCCAGTCTGGTGGCGCGACCCAGTTGAGGTCCGGATCCGATCGGCGCGATGCCTATCTGCGCCATCCGATCAAGCGATCGACGCAGAGTCCAAATCGCGCGATCTGCAGAGCACAGATCGCGGAGTGTGAACAGGCTATCTGCATCCCCTTCTGCCAACTACCACTAGAGTGTACACGACCGAGTCGTCGAGGGGTAGGTCTCGGCAGAGAGAGAAGCTGTTCCCACGTATGCCTAAAGCAGTGATTTTAGGGGAAAATTATAAGGGAGCGTGCTGGCTAAAGGTTTCCGCTCCCGAGAAAAAGAGCGTGGTGAATGAATCGATTCGTATGTGAACTTATGTCGTGCTTTTAAACGCCGTGGGCGCCCTTTCTCAGAATAGCCTATATTATTGCAATGACGCTTGTCGTTCTGTTCCTTCGCGAAGGGGAAAAAGATGGGAAATGATGAATCAGACGAAAGATGTCAATCTTTTTGTAGAAACAGTTTCAGTACTGTCATCGATCTGAGATTCCAAGTTAGCTGGAAAGCACTAGACTCACTAGTCTTTTTAGATCTTCCTTATTGATCGATTTAATAATTTGTTGGAAAGAAATCTATATGCGAATTCGTCGTGACAGATGACTGCCCAACATCCTGATGGTACTTCACGTCTGGTGTTTCTCCGTTTCGCGCTCGAATAAAACCGTGCCGGCGGTTTCTTTTTGTACTTTTCAAAAAACCTCCGAAAAAGTAATATGCAGATGGAAAGTAATATGAGGACAGGAATGAGGGGGGATTGTACCGAAGGAAGATGGGTTGTATTTTACAAGACTTGACAACAACGGCGGGACGTGCCTTGCTCCTGAGCCCCAAACAACTTGATAGGCAGCATTTTTGTGGTACACAAGGGGATAAATCCTATGACCCTGACGTTTTTGTAGGATTTTAGTACACGTGCATTTTCCGAGCATCTTTATTCCATATTCCTTATCAGACGTTGTCAGCTCATTTCTTGCACCTTCACACTGAATGATTTCTTCTTGTCGACTGCTTCTTCGCCTTTCTATGCGCTACATCTTAAAAAATGAAGGATTTCAGGTGAACTTCGCCATGATGAACTTTGAGGAAATGGACATGCCTACGATGCTTTCAGCTTTCGTGGGAATTCTAGTGATTATGATCACGTCGATATTCTACTTCACTAAAAAGCAAAGCGAGGAATCACCACGAGAACATGAAGAAGAGTTCGTTTCAATGAAATGCTTTGATTTTTTTATTTTTATTGGCTCCGCTATGTGCATTCTTCAGTGAAGCTGTCAAAATGGTTGAGGAGCTGGATGACGAGTCGAAGCTGGACGCTACAAGAAAAGCCAATAAGCACAGAAAAAATGATCACTGGAAGCCGAAAGTGGGTTCACAGTCATTCGGTAAAAGGGATCGCACTAATGCAGTGGAACTGTTTTCATGTCTTTCGGACTATTTCGCGAAGCGAGTTTTTCGCTTTCTTCTGCGATGCTCCCACTACACT